CCATTACTGCTGGAGGACTAACAAAGTGACTGACAAACCTATATCAAAAGAACAAAGGAGATCACCATATATATTCCCATTTCTCATATAGTAGTTCCAGGAGCTGGAGGAACAGCTGAAGACACCACTGTATGCTAAAGGATCTGGTAAAGTGACTGGTAAATCTACATGTACATCAAATACGAATAAGAATGGAAAGCAATATTTCTTTTGGACCCAATTATTGTTAAACTAAGAACAGCTGATGACTCCATTTTAAAAAGTCTGATAAATTGGCTGTCAAATCTACACCAGAGATCAGCAAAGACAAATATTTCTTTTCTCATTAATTGGTGTTCCAAAAACAGAAAGGGAAGCTGATGACACTACTGTCAGAGGATCTGAAGAAGTGACTGGCAAAGTCTACTACACCTCAAGATATCAGGAAAGTTTCCATTCCCATTGCTTGCTGCTTCCAGGAGTAGGAAGAGCAGCTGAACACATACAGATTTCTCAAACACTAAAGCAAGTAACCAACAGAACCAYGGATGATGTACAGTAGCATAATGGTTCTAATCCACAAAAGCAAACTCTGTTGCAAAGCTACATAATTCAACCACTGCTTTCCTTTATATTCCTTTCTCTTCTTAAAAGAAGCTGAGACCTTGTTAAGTGATGTTACACTAAACATCGTAAGAATATCAAGGAATTTTCCATAATTTCACTTTTGAGGGAGCTACCTTGATAACAATGATGATGAATATGTGTTCATAACTAAAATAAAAACTAAAATATTTATATTAAAACCTGAGAATGTTTCAACCTGAGAAATTTCTTCAATTTTACTGACTGATAGGAGTGGTATTTCATTGAAATACCTACTGAGTATTTCAGCAATCTCCATAGCAACTACTATATACTGGATCTAAATCTTTAATGTTGAAGGAGCGATAGCCAAGCTTTAAGATCAATGAGCTTTTAAAAATTCAGAAAATCAAATATTGAAGAAGTACCATCACTTGACAATTTGAGAGTAATTTACTGGCGTATGAGCAAAAACGGCTAGATGAAAAGTTACAGAGTTCTTTAGCAGAGATAAGAAAGATGGATCTGAAGTACAAGGCAGATTAAATGTTATGCTGCTATGCTGTACCTCTTGACCACTTACTCAAAGGCAACCACAGTCCTATCTCTGTTGTAAAAGATACAGAATTTTGAGAGGTGAGAAAAGCTGTGCCATAAGTGCAAGAAGGTAAAGCAAGGGCTTCACGAAGAAGACCCATTGGAAAAAGACCCAGTGCAGCTCAAGAGCTTAGCTACCAAGATGAAGAGCAGCTGTGGTTGAAGGGGCTCCTCAGATGTCATTCCCCAAGTTTTTTATCAATACCACATGGTTTTTGTTCACTTAACACTTTAGCTTGAAGACCTTACAAGAACACTGCGATATGTATATTGAAGATCTCACATTTGCTGTAGATGATAATGGTGTACAGACCATTATATTTGAAAAGAAATCCCACCACMACTCATAAACAAGGATTGCATAAGAAACAAAGAGTTGATCAGTCCACAAAGTTTGCAACTAGTGATGAAAAGTATCCTATTGAAAGCTTGTTGTCTAGCAATGTTAAAGCAAACAGTCTGTTTTGTCTTGCTGGAAATGGGCATCCAAAGGCACAAGTGTGATACGAACAACAGAGAATGGAACTCAACCACATTAAACATTTATGAATACTGTGACAAGCCAAGCAGAAATACAAAGGAAAATGCTCACAAATCGCAGTGACTGCAAGATGTCAGTGAAGAAGCTACAAGCTGCAAGTCA